AGATGAATCTGATGGTTCTCCTAAACACGCATATATAAACTGTTAAACAACACCTTTCAGTGTGGTCACCCTCAGAACCATACCTGCTGTGTTCATTTCCTACGGCTGCTGAAACAAATTACCAAACTTGATGGCTTAGAACAAAAATGTATTCTCTCAGTTCTGGAGGCCTGAAGTCAGAAATGAGTTTCACTGGGCTCAAGTCAAGGTGTTAGCAGTAGCACTCTCCCTCTGGAAGCTCTAGAGAAGACCAGTTCCTTCCCTCTTCCAGCTTCTGATGGCTGCCACCATTTTTGGCTTTGGGGCTACACCAGCAAGCTCTGCCTTAGAGTCACATCACCTTCTCCTTTTCTGTAGTCAAATCTCCCTCGGCCTCCCTCTTACAAGGACACCTAGTGTTCATTTAGGGCCCAGCCTGGTAATACAGGATAATCTCCCCATTTTAAAAGCCTTAACTTAAAGTCCTTTTTAGCAATAGAAGGAAACACTCACAGGTTTCAGGGATTAAGACATGAATATCTTTGTGGGGGAGGGAGTCATTACTCAGCCCGCCACACCTGCCTCCAAATATACCTGAGGCGGGGGAGGGGGGGAGAGGAGGGCACTGATCTCATCAAGCCTACTCTGATTTCAACTCCCCCCAAGTTCCCAGTACAACAAACAAGATTCTCCAACCTCATACCTCTTCCCACCTCACAAACTGCCTATGATCAGGAAATCACTAATTCTATATTCATTAAAGGTGTTAGTATTTTTAATGGCCCCTAAATGAGAAAAGTAATAAAGATTAAAACTCCCAATAGTATGGGAGAGTAATATAGGACAGTGACTAAAAATGTGGGAAATAGCTTGTCTGGGTTCAAATCCCATCCTCACCAACACGCAGCTGTGTGACCTAAGGCAATTCAGCCTCTGCACTTTGCTTTTCCCATCCAGCAAACAAGGCTAATAATACCACACATCTCATTGGGTTGTTGTAAGGGTTAAAGGAGAGAGAGAGAGAGTGTGTGTGTGTGTGTGTGTGTGTGTGTGTGTACAGAACTTGGTTCATTCATTAAGGTTAACTACTATTATTAATGATGCCCAAAATGGTAGACACACAGATATTACTGGACAGGGTGAAAAATCACAACCAAAATTGAAGGTACTGTAATGATACAATTAAACAATAATTAACAATCCGTTTGATGGAAACCATAAGATTAGATGCAAGATTTACACTAAACTCCGTGAGAAGTTTTAAAGGATATTCTTAATTAAAAAGAAGATCTGCTCTGTCAACGAGGATCACCAAATGCACAGGCCTCCTATCAAAAAACTGGCCCATAGCCTAGAGATGGGAACTTCTCCAGAAGCCACACATCCTGCTCTCAATCTGGATGTGGGGGCCACCACTGCTTGTACTGTGTTTCTAAGGGCAGTAAAAGGTAGGAACGAAGTGCCCAGCATCACTAAAAGGCATTTCATGACAAGTAGGGCGACTTTTGTTTTGTTCTAGAAGGGAAATCAGACTCAGGCTCAGGTACTAAGATTGTGACCTGGGGCAGGACAAAGTTCTGATCCTCCTGAACTCTACCTTCACAAAGCCTTCGTCCAGGTGCCTGCCTTGTCCCCCATCCCCAGCCTCCAATGGTCGCATCCTGTCCCCCAGTATCTATCCCCAGCATCTCAGTACTCACTGCTTACTGTATTTTCTACTGAAATCAAGTCGGTTAGTCCACAAACAGCCCAAAAGTCGGTGATTTCCTGTGCAGCCAAACTAGCATACATTTACAATAGAATAATTTCTACTATTTACACAGATCTATGGGGAGAAATTCTGTACTACAAACTTTTATATACAAGCCAAAGTAACTTGAGACTCATGACTATACATACAGTAGAAAACAAGGATGTGTCTGCTTTATCAAGGCTCAAAGTAAACCAGGATTTCAGTGAGCACCAGAGCCTGCACCTTCCTAATCTACGACTGGAGCAAGGGGCCAATTTCCCACTCAGTTCTACCGCCAGCTTGCAGCTTTGTGTGGAGGGTGCAAAACACCAAACACCTAAATCATCCCTATTCCTGTGACATCACCGACCTACCTTACTCATTCCAGTCAAAAGCAGCTGCCCCTAGCAAGGACATGACCTAACGACTAGGGGACCCGAAGAGATGCAGGCTCACATGGCTCCATTCGAAATCAAGAGAAAGCCAAGAACCCACTTGACATCTGGCAGTAGAGCAAACCCAACTACAGAACAATCACGTGTAGAGGCACTGCTGAGATCTCATGAGGAAGGGACAGTCTCCATCCTCAAAACAAGAGTTACTAGGGTGAGACTGAGAGCAGTGCGGAACTAGACTGACTGGGAAGAGCTGCTTAGAAGGCAGCCTTAAGATCGGCACGCCAAGCCTCAGGCCAGGGACAGCGTTAGGGCTAAGCATGGAACCCTGGGCTTTCTAAGAGTCCTACTTCAATAAGAGGTGGTGCCAATTCAGTGGAACTCCCAGAAAAGCACTCCGGAAAAAAGCATCCCCACTACCCCTTGGAAGATAAGTTAAGATAAAGCAATGAGCTTACAAAGATCTACAAGCACAGGAGGAGAGAGTAAGCCACCATGAGTGCAAGTCAATGTAGACAGTCCAAAAATTGCACACACCAGAACTACCAAATAAAAAGAGTCACATAGGAAATGCCTAAAAATATAAAAGAATAAGAAACAAAGAACTATCAGGAATGACCAGGCAGATTTGAAGAAGAAACAAATGGAACCTACAGAAATAAAAAATACAGTTGACCCTTGAACAACACAAGAGTTAGGGGCACCAATTGATCCCCATGCAGTCAAAATTCATGTCTAACTTTTGACTCCCCAAAAACTTACTACCAAGAGCCTACTGTTGACTGGAAGCCTTACCAATAACATAACCAATTAACATATATTTTGCATGTTATATGTATTATATACTGTATTCTTATAACAAAGCTAGAGAAAAGAAAATGTTAAGAAAATCATAAGAAAAAATAAATTTACAGCACTGTACTGTAAGAAATCCATGCGTAAGTAGACCTGCACAGTTCAAACCCATGTTGTTCAAGAGTCAACTGTAATTGCTAAACTTAAATATTCCAAACAAGTTAAATAGCAGATTAAAATCGCTGGTAAGAGAATTAGTGAAATGGGAAATATAGCTAAAGAAACTACCATGTAAGCAAGAATCTAAATTAGTGTCAGGGATTATCAATAGTCCAAATTACCTCTAAATTAATTATGAAGCCATGATTCAAATCAGATTCCTATCTAAAAACAAACACTGTGGGGGCTCCTGGGGGGCGCAGTCAATTAAGGGACCTTCTGCTCAGGTCATGATCTCAGGGTGGTGAGATCAAGCACCGTGCCAAGCTCTGCAATCAGCACAGAGTCCGCTTGGGACCCTCTCCCTCTCAGTCTGCCTGTCCCCACCCACGTGCAAGCTCTCAAATAAGTAAATAAATCTTAAAATAAATAAAAAATAAAAGCAAACACTGTTTTAGTTATGTTTATAACTTTAAAGCTTCAAAGTATTGCTTTTAGAGGTCATTTCATCTTTACAATAACCCTTTTAACGTACTTAAGAAATGAAAAACTGCCTAGAATCCAAATCACCTGATACATCCTTCAATGAAACTAAACCTAAATACTAGCTTAGGTTCTGTTTTCATGACCTCTTTGCTGGAAGAGTCACAGAAAATCAGATCCCATGCATTCTGGAGCATAGGAGTGAGAAACAAAATGGAATGACATTACTAACACAGAGAGTAGACTCTAAAAAGAAGAAAAGTCATTGCCCCAGGATTCTTTTCCTTGGCTAGAATCCTGCATTGCCAGTTTAACTCAATCCTATTTATTCCTCAGCTCTGTTAAAATAACAATAACAACATAGTTGATCCTCCTGCAAAACTTCACCTGGCCTATGGCCATCTTGATACTTAATTTAGCAAAACTATCCATATTGTCCCTCATTTTCAGTATTCTGATATATATCATAGCTCTGCTCCCAGTTTTATTCAAGCACTATTTTTAACTGTTATACTTAGCAACTCACTCCTCCTCTACAAATCTCTATTCTCTTAATATGTGTATCCTGACTTAAACTCCTAATGAGTTTTTTTGTCCACAGAAGGCACATGCAGTACTGTATAATTTTACCTATAACTTAAAAAGTTTTCCTTACTCCTAAGTAAAATGGACGGATCCAATATTAAATTTTCAATTGTTAGATTCACCCCAGAGCTATCAACCTTCAGTAATTTGTTTACACACACATACGTAAAACAATCATCATTGCATTACATCAATAGGCATTCTTTCACTAGTTGACACCAACAAGAAGATTCACAAGCCGTTGATCATAACATCTCCCTTGGGAGCCAAAGTAAGAGAAGCAACCAGAAGAGCGAGTTTCAAATACTTAGACTTCTTTCCAATCTAAGCAAAACATTCCTTAGCAGTGACTACATAGCCCAAGTTTTAAAACGAGTTGTTTCTACTTGGAAAATTACATCTACCTTAAAAAGTTCTTCGTGGCTTAAAATACTAAGCAGAAAAAGAAATCTTATCACCTAAAAGTTCACTTTGCCATGTCTCATACTCTTAAGACGCTAGAAGGCTGGGGAGAAGTTCGACTTAAAAAATGCAATGTGCACCTAGGTGACGTCAATACAGACACATCTGAACCGCTTTTCATGTCAGCCAGAACAAGTGTGGGGCAACACAGTGATCAGTGTGTTTGTCCGAGGATCCAAACAGAATTGGACCCTGTCGTCGTCAATCTATTAGGAGACTGGCAGCCCTAGAAACCTAGAACAAAATTTACCGCCCCCCCCCAACCCATCCTCACGCCCCAGACCTCTTGGATCCACCCATGGCTGTCAGCCAAGTCAAAGTTTAATGAAATTATTGAAGGATCCCGGCACCTGAGCCGCAGCCCTTCCACAAGGCGGAAGCCGCCCGCCACAGCTCCAGGCGAAACTTACAAACTTGGGGCGTTTCTCTCCAGGCTCCTCAGCGGCGCCGGGCGGAGGGTGCTGGGGGCCCTTCCTGCGCGGCATCTTGCTTTCCCGGCAGCCGCGAAGCGCGGCGGAGGCGGGATAGGGCGCCCCGGCGGCGGAGCCCTGCTTCGGGTGGTGCAGCCGCGGCCGGTGCCGATCCATCGTTCCCCGCAGCTCTGGGGGACGGAAAGAAGGCGGCCGCAATGCGAGCCACAAGACGGGAGCTCGGAAATCCGCGGCGGACTGGCCTTCCTGGTTCCGCCGCCCGCCCCGTCGGCCCAACTCAGCCCAACCGCTGCTGCCGGGGCCACCGCCAACACATCCGAAAACTCCCGCCACCGCGGACCGCTCCGGACCCGCCAATCCCGCGCGGCTTTGTCAATGACATTCCCGGGACCCGCCTTTTCCGGGCAGATCGAAACATGATTGGCTGTGCGGCCCGTTCATTTCGCCATTCAACTCTTTTGGCGGTCCAGGCAGCTCGCCTTCAGGGCACGGGTGGGGTCACATCGGAAAAGCCTGAGAACCTACTAGAAGTCACTTGTGTGGGTTTATTTGGAATTTGGAGAAGCGGTTCCTGCCGGCAGGCGAGACCCTCTGCACCACCACTTGAGCAGCGCTGCAATGTGAAATCATCTGCTAACCCTGTCTTGCCCCACTCGGAGGCCCTGGTGCGATGGCCACTGGGAAAAGTAGTTCGAGGATCTGTACTTGAAAATGTGCTAGGCAGGTGAGAACAGCAGCTGTGACGTTCCAAAAGGATGCCTTTTGGACATACTGAACGCCTGCTGAGTGCCTAAGTGCTGAGAGCCTGCTCCGGGGTGGCAGAGGGGTATACCAAAAATCAGAAGGGGCTCGGCCACATCCTTAAGGAGTTCACAGTCTGTGGTTCACAAACCTTTACACAAATAACAAAATAATATAAATGTATAGCAGTTATTTTTAAGGTTCATTGAACAAAGAGGGGGGATATTAAATCTGAAGGAGCAGATCTGGAAAGGCGAAAGCAAGAGTCCATGGATTTTCACTAGGTAGGAAAGAGTGGCAGGACATCAGATACAGGGCATTGGGGGCGGGAAGCAAGGCCAAGAGCACTCAAGACCAAAAAGCTGAAAAAACTTCAAGAGCTTTCAATGAAGGGCCTTGAGCTGAAACTGTGCAAGAGTTCCTTATGTAAACCCAAGGTCAAGCCTCAAGGCTAAAGCAGTTTTCCCACACAGCAGTGTGCTTTTTCCCCCTCTTAAAGTCATCTTTTCCTTTGAACTATTTCCTTAAGTTATCCATCTTCTGACTACATGGACTTATTCCAAGACTCTGGTAAACATGCAGTACTGATTTGGGTATAAGAAACAACTCTAGCAACTCTGGGGAGATGCGCACTGAGTTTCAGAAAAGGGGCCTTAGTTCCAAGTATGTCTTCAGACTACAGTCATTGGGTTGTTGTTTTGGGGTTTTTTTTTAAATGTTTATTTGTTTATACTGTACCAGACTTTCTTTGCCAGTCTCTATCTTTAAAGAGCAAGTAATCTTTAGGAGAAAGTCCAGGAGAACTAGGGCCATCCAGGGCCAGAGAACTGAAGTAGTTCAGTAGGTCTTAATAACCATTAGACCCAAGTGCAAATTTTATTCCTGTCATTTACTAGCTATGAGATGTTGGAGATGATGTTAAACTTTCTTTCTCTGCCTTTCCATCTGCAAAAGGGGATAATAATAATAATAATAACAATAATACCTAACAAACGGGTATTGTCAGGCTTAAATGAGATAGCATACATAAAGCTCTTAGAAATGTCTGTGAAAGCCCTTCCCACCAAAGACCACCAGGAGGAAGACCTGTAGTTGAACAGGTGGAGCTTATTACTCACTGGGGAGAAGACCATGCTCTATGGGAAACTGGGGTTTCTCAGGATGAAAGTGTTAGAAAGGACTCAAAGGATTGGGACTTTGGTTAGGTGATTTGGAAGGCTCCTTAGAAACTGAGCGGGGAGGGCTACTCTGGATTTCAGTGCTGTCAGGAATTGGGGACAGTTTACTGACTGGGTATCTTAATAAATTTTATGTAGAAGAATGGCAGGTAAAGAATGAGGCTAGAGTTGTAACTGACAACAAAGCAGCAATCATCCATAGTATCAGGAAGGAGGGGTTGGTGTTTTGTGATTTGCACTTGACCTTGCTGTTGTTTGTGTGTAGATAAAATTGGAAGTGGCCTTGTTCTGTCCCACTTCAACACAGTCAGAGTGACCTTATCTGATATTGGTGCTCTGAGAGATTGTTTATGTCCATGAAGAGAACAACATGGCTTAGCTGTGAGTGTCAGGCTAGCTTTTAAAAAACATTGAGCCCTTGCTGTTAAGTGTCAAACTAGTTACCTGATGTGAAGGGCTGCTCTTTTCTTTCTCATGTCCTTCGCATGTAGAAGATACTAAGTATAAATAAACAGAAGTTATTATAATTAATTTTCAAGCTTCACATAGATCACTCTGAAATTTTTCTTATAGAAATTCTTCGGGCACGTGGGGGGCTTGGCCAGTTAAGCATCTGACTTCAGCTCAGGTCATGATCTCAGGGTCCTGGGATGGAGTCCAGCATAGGGCTCCGTGCAGCGGGGAGTCTGTTTGTCCCTCTCACTCTGCCCCTCTCCCTGCTCGTGCTCTCTCTCAAATAAATAAAATCTTTAAAAAAGAAAGAAAGAAAGAAATACCTTGCAACTGCAATGCATCTGTGAAAATAATACTCTTGCCTAAGTTTTACATTTTTAAAAGTACATTTTTCTTAATTTATTGTTTAAACTTCACATCAGCATGCACTGCTTGTCATTCTGACACCCCTACGAGAAGATGATATACCCCACTGAGTCAACAGTTTTGGAAATGCCAGGCTCAGTGCACAGGGCTAGGACAAAATTTAATGAGACAAAAGGCAGGCTTGGAGAAGCTTGGAATCCAAAAATACGTTTCCTTTCTTTATCATTTCTGTTCAGTCTCAACCTCCAGACAATTACAAATGCAATTTTTGTGAGGTTCACTCTTAATGACTATATAAGAGAGAAAGGTGTGAAAAGTTGAGGGAAGGGATGGATCATTCCCAATCTATTTTTTGTAATGACAGTTTTATAAGATGCCATCTCACCCTTTTGAGATTGGCAAATATTACAAAGTCTCATGTCACCAAGTTTAGGACCTGCGAGAAGGGAAGGTACGTGCACCTGTGGCCCAGCTCTTCTGTGGGTACATGTCCCCCTGGGGTCGCCCAAAGATACCCATACAAAGATACCCATACCCACACTTCATAATAGCAAAAAAGAGTAAACTATTTCACCAGCCTGCAGTCACAGAAAGAATAAAACACACGGAGGTTTCTTATATGGTAGAATCCTATATTGCATTTAAAATGGATAACTAGGTCTACATGTGGATATATCTCAAGAATAAAGAGAAAAATCAATTGGCACTATATATGTGTATATATATAGTGTGTGTAAAAACACAAGAGAGGGATGCCTGGGTGGCTCAGTTAAGTGTCTGCCTTCGGCTCAGGTCATGATCCTGGGGTCCTGGGATCCAGTCCCGCATTGGGCTCCCTGCTCAGTGGGAAGCCTGCTTCTCCCTCTGCCTGTGCTCCCCCTGCTTGTGCTCTCTCTCTCTCAGACAAATAAATAAATAAAATCTTAAAAAAAAAATCAAGGAAAATATACCCCAAAACTTCACCTACTTTCAGAGAGTAAAGGAAGAAGTGGCAAGGAATCGAAGCTGCAGCTTTATAGCTAAAGTATCTGTAATGTTTTATTTATTAAAAGGGAGAGATCTGAAGTAAATCTGGCAAAATATGAAGAAGTATTTAATCTTAGCAGTGGATGTATTTGTGTCTATTTTACTATTTTCTATAATTTCCTGTTTATCAAAAATGTTTCATATTCAGTTTTTAACAAAATATACAAATTAACAGAAACATAGGAACTTCGGAGGTAGCTCCCTTCACTCCTTCCATTCCTCCAAAAAATCTTAATATATTGGCATTGAGACTACAATGAGCTATTAAGTGCACATAAGGAGAAATGAAATATATTTTTTAAGGATGACTTTAATATTTTTTAATTTTGAATAATAAAATCTATTCCCTTCCCTCTACTTGTCTTCCACTCTCTTTTATCCTCTCTTATCACATGCATTTTCCTTCTCTCCAGAGAATCAGGAACCAACAACAACAAACACTGCATTTCCCTCTTTCTACAAATTTTTTTCTACAAACTTGAGTTCTACAAAAGAAGTTTTGTAGTTCTACAAAAGCGCTACCAAAAAAATTAGAAATTCAGTGCTTTGCTGTGCATGCTTTCCAAGGAGTCAGTGGATTAGAACAAGAAACATAATTGCAAGCCTAATTCAAAGCCTAATTTATGTAACTTCACCACTTTCTTCATTGCTTTACCACCCGATGCAGCAGAGGCGTACCTCATTTTACAAAAGTTCTATAGCACTTCGTACTTAATCAGAAGGTATTAGAATAATTAGCTGGCCAGTAGCACTGACTTGGCACCTTCATGTCAAACCTTCAGTAGCAAGGTACACTACTGTTGCTTACCCTTGTGGATTTGAGGCCTGGCTCCTTCCACATTCTCCACCTGCTTGTCTGTCTTGGTTGGTGTAAATTGCTGCTGTGTGGGGCGCCTGGGGGGCTCAGTCGTTAAGTGTCTGCCTTCGGCTCAGGTCATGATCCCAGGGTCCTGGGATCGAGCCCCGCATCGGGCTCCCTGCTCGGCGGGAAGCCTGCTTCTCCCTCTCCCACTCCCCCTGCTTGTGTTCCCTCTCACTGTCTCTCTCCCTGTCAAACAAATAAATAAAATCTTTTAAAAATAATAAAAATTAAAAAATCAATTGCTGCAGCTTTACAACATAATGTAAGGTGGGGAGAGGGTAAATTATATGCACAGAATGCTCACTGATATAGTCATATAATGTAAACCAGGCTTTCTCAATCCCAGCCCTATTGACTTTTGAAGCCGGGTAATTCTTTGTAATGGGGGTGGGTGGGGGTGGGAGAGGCTGTCCTACGCCTTGTAGGATGTTCAGCGGCATTTCTAACCCCGGCCACTAGATGCCACCAAAAATTTCACAAGACTGCTAAATATCCCTAAGGGCTGAGTAATATCCCATTGTATGGATATACCACCTTTTGTTTAGCCGTTCATCAGTTGATGGACATTTGGGTTGCTTCTTTTGGCTATTATAAATCATAGCACTATAAACATTCATGTACTTGGTGTTCTGTGGGCCCGAGTATTCATTTCTCTTGGATCTATGCAGAGGAGAGGAATCGCAGGGTCATATGGCAACTCTATGTCTGAAGAACGGCCAGACTCT